CAGCTGGAAGAGTCGCCGGAAAAAAATGGACGGCGACGGAGGAGGCGGGAGGGTTGCTTGTTGGCCAGAGGGTGTGAGACAGGAGGCCAATGTGCCACAAACCAGCGGGCCCGGGAAGAGGAGTAGGCGAGCGCGCGTCCGTCGCGTGTCCACACCGACGCAAATCCGGCTTAAAAATGGGCCGAGAATGGGTCGCCCGCGGACGAAAAACGGACGCGCGTCCGTTTGAGTCGGCGCGTTGGGCCGCCTTTTGTGTCTGCGCCGACCCAAACGGACAGCCGCGGACGAAATGGATCGCCTCATTGGAGTTGCTCTAATGCTACGATTTGAGATAAACTCTACACCAAAAAGATCAAAAAGATGCACGTCAATGTTGTGGTTTCTTTCGCATGGTCGATTTCTAGTTTCGTTGGCTGTAAATCTTCCATTTTGCGTCTATGTTTGAAGATTTTATAGACGAGTTTGTCAAATTTGTCTTGCAAGGGCGACCATTTGAAATTTTCTTTTAGGAGTAGCTTCATCTCGCATTTTCACATATTTTTCGCGTTGTAAATATTTTGTTTTGACGATCATAGTCGAATAGACCTATAATATCTCTCCACTAGACTGTACAAATGGGCTAAAGTGTGTATGCTGTTCTAGACACATTTGAGAAAATTCATCGCACGTGGTTGAACATTGTTTGACCATTCATATAACTTTCATGTAAGCTTTTTATTTTGACGCTCATAGACAAAGTTGTTCAAGTGTAGTGATGTGGGGTAAGTTCACGGTGCGAAAAAGATGAGATTAATCATGGTTAATCAAACAATCACATGTTGCATTTGAGGGGCACAAACATACAACCAAACTTCGTGTTTGTGTTTTTACTCATACACTTTGAGGCTTCGTGTGCAACCAAATAAGATGCAAAACATGACCAAGAATTTGTATCAACCAAGCTGTATTGAGCCACACACGCAAGGAAGACGATATCCGTCTACTTATTAATTTGTATCAGACCCTGAGTGAACCGCCACTTGTCTTTCCGGCTACCATGGCCTCATCGCACAAACGTCCGTGCCGATCACCTCGCCAACCATGATGACGCCAGAAGTCGAGCCATGGTCTTCGTCAGGGTATCTCCAACGCCGACCCTCAAATCACCTGCAACTGTTCGGACGTAGTTGTCTGGACCCCGAAGCCATCTAACGCCAACCCCATCCGTCTGCGGAGCAGTCCGGGCCACGATTTTCCTGTAAAGCGGAACCAAACATTGGGAGATTTGCGGGAGCCTGGACACGAGACACATCGGACTCTGACGCCCATGCTCCGACGCGTCCCTCTTCCATGCATGCTGCCTCTCGCAGCTCGCGGCGCGCGCCGGAGTGCGCGTGCGGGCCGGCTGCGCGGGCACTAGCACCCACCGCTGCCCGCATGGAGGAGCGGACAGCGGGGGAAGGAGATGGCGTGAGGGCGGTGCGGACTGTGCTGTCCTGACGTCGATGCGCGCGGGTCGAGATTGTCCAGCTCTGGCGTCCGCGCTGCGCCGACACGGGACCTGCGGCGATGCTCCAGATCCGGAGATGCCACCGGTCTCCACCTTGAACCGCTCCGACGCAATGCGGAGGGCCATCTCCTCCTCGTAGTCGAGCTCAGAGCCAGATTCGTTGCCGGAGCTAGACATCGCAGTGGACGGGATCGGAATCGACGAGGGAGAGGAGAGGAGGAAGCGAGAGAGAGAGTGAGCTAGGGTCCGTAGTGAGGCACCCGGGCTGGGAGTTTTGTGGGGTAGCTATGGGGTCGATGGTGGGCCGGGCCTGTCAGGTGGACGCGCCGCATGTCTTGGCAGCCCCATGTCCGCCCTATATTTGGGCTGAATATGAGGGATGCTGGTCAGCCCGGGCATTTGTCCACAGTTTGAAAAGTTTGGTTGGTGACCGGATGGTCTGTCCAGACGTTTGAAACGAGTACGATAGGTCTGACTATAGATGCTCTAAAGACCGGAGAATCTAAGATGGTAGCAACGCTTTTTCAAACTCATTTTATGTTTGTTTTTTCGCGCAACCATGTGCCAATCCTTGCAATCTGAACACTTTGGTCAAACAAGATATTTTTTAAGATAGTCAAAGATTACAGGAAGAATACATTAGAAAAGGCAGACAAGTCTTCTAATCCGTGATCCCAAAGAGACAGTGTCAACCAAAGAAAATACTGGGCCATTCATGCTTGTTTAGTACTACTCCTAATACTATCACTCCATTCCATAATTCTAAACTAAAACCACGACAAGAATTACGAAATGAAATTTCCTCTCAAGTGATACAATCCAAGCTCAACTCAAACTGCTCAAAGTTTATTTAAACAGAAACTACAGCATTCTTCATCAGTGTAAAATTTCCATCATCATACATCACCTTGTCATGTATGATATGAAGTCGTCCATTTCCTTGTGCGATGATCCGCCCTGAGCCGCCGACGAACGGACGGCCTCCCCGAGCACCTCTGCCCGCTGCCTCACCGCGAGCCCTTCCTCGGCGACCATCATCGTTTCAATGGCCTCCTGTATGGTTGTCGCCGGTATCACCTCGCCGTGTTTCTCCCACGGCCTCACAAGGAGGCCGGCCTTGAGGTAGCTGCACACTAGCTCCGCGTCCCACGGCTGGTCGGAGTGCATGGGCCAGGCCAGAATTGGCTTCCCGTGGCTCATGCTCTCCATGGTCGAGTTCCAGCCGCAGTGGCTCATGAACGCCGCCGTGGCGCGGTGTGCCAGGATCTCCAGCTGCGGCGCCCACCCCGTGATCACCAGCCCCATGCCTTCGGTCTGCTTGGTGAACTGGGACAGCAGCTCGGCGTGCCGGTTGTCGCCAGCGTCCGTGAATATGTCGCCGCGGTCGGCGTCACGCAGCACCCAGATGAAGCGCTGCTTGCTGCCGTGCAGCGCCGCCGCAAGCTCCGCGGCTTGCTCCTCCCGGAGCGAGGAGCTCGAGCCGAACGACACGTAGAGCACAGATGACGGGGGCTGCTGGTCAAGCCAGCTCAGGCACTCGTGCCGCTGCGTCTTCCCCTGGTTCGACGCCGTCGCCTCGAGCAGCGGGTTCAACGGCCCGATGGCAAAGAGCTTCTTGCCGTCGGCCGCCGTCTGCTCCGCAACAACGTCGACGAACTCGCCCTCAAGCGCGCGGCACGTGTTGACGACGATGCCGGCGCCGTCCGAAATCGACCGCGCCACCATCGCGCGTTTGCTGGCGTAGTCCAGGAACTCCTGGGACACGCGGGTGGGGAGGTGCGTGAGGCCGTTGTCGCGCAGGAGCCGGTGCCCGGCGTCCATCCGCCCGACGATGGACGACACGGCGGTGCAGTAAAACCCGAAGGCCTCCCCGTTGGGCAGCTGCGCCGCCTCCTCGGACGCGAAGGCGTTCATGAGGTCGTGCACGACGACGACACGGCGGCGAGAAGCAGAGAGCTCGCGCAGGACGGCCGCGAGCGGGGCGCGCGCGCCCGCGGTGAAGGCCTCGAACATGGGCATGAGGTGGGAGGGGAAGGGCGGGTCGGCGGCGGGGTCTGGAGGCGGGGAGACGTAGGTGGAGATGGCGAGGTCGTGGAAGTGGATCGAGCGGAGCGCGTCGTCGTCCCAGCCGTGCACGCGCGCGCGAGCCTGGCGGACGTGCGGCGGGGACGCGGCGTAGTGCACGTCCAGCCCGCGCGAGGCTAGCTCCAGAGACAGGTGCAGGAGCTGGTTGAGGTGGCCCTGCGCCGGGAACGGCACCGCCACGACGGCCACCGACGCCGCTGGGTTCTTCGCCCTCCCTTCCATTCTCTGTGTTGACCGTGAGTGTCAGTGGAGCCGGAAAGAATTGGACGTCGTGGAGTACCGGAGACTTGGAGTACGATTTATGCAATGAATGGCGTACTAGCCTCTATGGTGGGTGCAGTAGGTAGTGGACTAGTAGTGAAACCAAATCACTGGCAATGCGAGTGTGCAGTTTATTTGTTGTTTGTTACTATTTCTTTTCAAGAAAGTCTTTCGACGTAGGAGTTTTTATATTACAGTATGTGACAGCAGGCCTAGGGTTAAAAATATTGGATGTGACAGCAGGACTCACAAAAGTAACAAAAAAAATAAGATCCATGGGCACTAGCACCCAGGACATATTTTTATAGAAAGAATCTATCTGGATAATGATCACGGAAAATTCACTCCCGACGAGAGTCAAACCCAGGTCTGCAATGAAGCGCCACTACGCCCTTGCCGCTGGGCTATTGCCCATCCTCAAAGATCACAAAAGTAACGAACACATAATCCCTCCCTCATTACATAATCCCGTCTATGAACATGGACCACCTAGCGATGACTATTCATCATCCCTTTCTCATTAGATACGGGCAAACCTTGTTGAAGCTGATAGTTGGAAAACTGTCTTGCTAAGACTTCAAAGGGCCAACGCACCGTAACAACAATCATCACCATTAAAGAAAAATATATATTAGAAGGATGTACATGTAAACACATCAATGACCACAAGCGCTAGCTAGAGACCAACGTCGGTCGGATCCAAGCAAACTCGACGGAGGCCAACATCGACCAAATCCGTCGGAAACAGACCTCTGCGCGCTCTTTGTTGGTACTAGGTGCAGACCTGAAGTGGGGATAAACTGGAGAAGGCATTATTCTAACTCTACGATTTCTCCGCCTCCTCACCGCCCAGATAAAGGAGACAAAAACTATGTAAGGAATGGAGAAAACCCTACTCCAAGTCCCATAGCGACACTGGGGCAGGGCGGACCAACGGGGGAAACAACGAGAGGAAAGAAAACCCTAATCATGTAGTTTGTTTGTTAGCCACATAACCTCGTCGTGGATCTGGAAAACTTTGCGACTAAACAATGAAAATCTTCGTTTGTCAGTCATAACCTCGTGGATAAGACATGTTTTTACCATGTAACAATATTATTGTAAATCTAATCTAGCCAGATCCTTATGGTGATAAGCAGCTGAATTAACAACCAAGTTTACCTCAGCCACTTGTACTCAAAAGTGTAGCTAGGGCAACCGGTGCTTTCATAGATAAAATGACTTCAGCCGAAGAAGGATTTCTGCAATAACAAACGACCATGTTAGGGATCACATACTTGAAGCTCCATG